TTTTGTTCATTCATCTATTTTATCTCTTGGCCTTTTTATATATCAAGAGCCAATCTTGTAACCAAAAGCAACTTATCTAAAGTAATATCTTCTACAATATTACTTATTCTACTTTCACATTTATTTATATATTTTAATAGATTCTTTAGCATACGCCACAAGAATAGTAATTCACAAGATATCTTCAAATCCATCTAATACAAAAGCTCCACATCTATACGTTTGTAGCTCAAGAGCTACCTTACAAATAAAACCAACACAGTTGGTAAACACAAAATATCAACACAATTTTTGATAATTAACTAGACTCACTTACAACTTAAAAGAAAAACTTGAAATTCTTCACAACATATGTTATGATAAAATTTGAGCTTTACAAAAAACATTATCCATGTGCAGCTCGTGACATGATAATTAGGTGCAGATCTTCCATGATATTTCATTGCTTTTGTGTTGTCATCATCATCATCGGCGTTAAGACTTTTAGTGACGCATCCCAATGCCACACCATATGAGCATCACAATTCAACTCTGCAACATATCAACCTCTATTGCCGCAATTTAGCACTGATAACCTAGAGGCATACAATATAGTATGTAGAGGAGTATAAATTATAGTAAAAAAATAATAATCCTTATAAAAAAATCTACAAAAGTTGAAGAATAAATTCTTTATAATCTACTCCATTTCAAATTGATACACTACAAAAGTGAAAAAAAATATGATTATTGTCAAGTAAAAAATATCTAAACATCATTTAATTAAGCTATCTTTTATGCCACAAAGAGAGAATTCAAGAATATAAGTATGTAGAAAAAATCCTAAACTTTACTCAATGGCTAAATTACCATATCTAAACAAAATCATATAATAAAGAGCTTCTTATAAAAATAAAAAAATAAAAAATAAAAAATAAAATACTCTCAAAACTTAACTTAATAAGAATATTTTTTTAGATAAGTTAAAAAGAAATTTAAGACTTAGAAATGCATAATTTAAATATTATATTTTAAAATCATAATAGTCTTAATATAATAGAATTGATTAGAGATTTTATAATATCAAATGCTATTAGACTTCTATAATTTTTAATAATTATTTTTATTGATAAGATTACATTAGTGATATGTCTTGAAGATAGAAGTTGGCTATTTATGAATTTTAAATATAGAATATTGACTTTTGTACTAACAATATCTTGTGATATTTAAAAAAATATTCTTAAAATATATAAGCAAAGGCATTGGAATCTAATAAGACAATGGTGAAAAAATAGGGTTTTTAAATCTTTAGCATACTTGTACTTTTAAAACAAGCAAATAATTCTTGAGACAACAGAAGAACTTCATAAGATAATGTAGTACAAGAATTCAACAACATGATTTCAAACATTTTTGAACAAACTTATTTTTTGATATGTTTTGTTTTATAATTGTATTCCTTGTCTTGTAAAATTTGCCTCTTTTTAAGATAATATTAAGCAATGTATTTTGATTCTCTAAAATATTTGTCTAATCTTTCTTCTCAACATCAAGTTTTTTCTTATATAGCAAGAAGTTTAAAATATGTAGCATCAATCTTTATATCTTTTATATATAATTATATCTTTTGATTAGTAGAAGTATTTGCAATAAAAACATAAAAGCATTAAAGTGTTAATATATAATTTATTTTTATTTTTATTTTTATTTTTTTTATCAAAGTTTTAAAATTATGTTGTTCCATTTAAAAGAAAAATCAATAGTTTGACTTTAATATTGAAGATTAAGTAAGTAAAACAAAAATTTCTTTACATTATATTATAAGTCATAAAAAAAAATTCTAATTAGTATGTCATTATTTTATTTGATATGAATTACTAATTATCAAAATTTTAATGTACATATTAACACATATTAATTTTTTGTTAAAAAATTAAATTTTTTTTGGTATTATATAAGTTACACCATTTTTCTATATATAGACCAAGTTCTACTAAAAATATATCTAAGTTGTCTAATATAAAATCGAATTGTTCTAAAATTGATGAAAATCAAGAAAGATTAGATTCATGTATTAAATTATCAATAAACATAAAGTGAGATGCTTGGATTGAATAACTAGGACAATAGACTTGAATAAAAAAATTGTACTTGGTTGATGAATCTTAAAAATATGGATCTATTACCATCAAACTTCTCTAAAAGAACAACTTTTGGTTTCCTAGTTGGTGAAATTGCATGAGTTGCTTATAGTGAAATTGTTGAAAAAACTCCTATCATCTCTTTGACTTATTAATCAAACTTGTAATATTGATTGAGGTGGTAGACTAAGTTAATAAATAAGAAACATCAATTTTTTTTTTATTTATATATGCATCTAAACTATGACATTTTTTATCTCTACTAAAGTTTTTTACTTGTGAAGGCTTAAAAAACTCTATACAAGTTAAAATAAAATAAAAATAAAAATAACAAAAAAAATAAAAATTTCAAAACCATATCAATTTAAAGAATGAAAATTTATAATCTTTAAAACAACTTCATGATTTCAAAGAAAAAAAATCAAACTTTGATATTATATATAATAGTCTTATTAAATAATCAAAGACATGAATTAGCATAAAGCTTTTAAAATATATATATATATATATATATATATATTTATGTGACAATTAAAAAATAAAAAAGTAAGCACAGAAAAAATAGATATAAGATAGAAAAAGAACAAAAATAGTTATTGGCACATACAAAGAAATTAAAGAATCTTGAATCAAGACTAGAATTCAAAAAAGGTAATGATGAGTTTGAAGATGGCCTCTATATATACTAAATACTAAGAAACTCTTGTAGAAATTTTATAAAGACCACAAGACTTATAATCCAAGCATTTTTATATATTTTTTGATAAACATAAATATTAATTGATATGAAAAATAATATTGCTTTTTTATAAACTAATTAATTCTAAATTAAATTATTAGATATCTTTATTTTATTAGATTACTATAAAAACATTATTCAATGAATGTATTATTATATTAAGATTGTATATTTTATGTATATGTTTTTGTTAAAATAATGAATTATTTGACTATTTATATTTTTATTATTTAGTTGCACATATTTAAAGTAATAATCAGTTATGGAATTTATAGAAATAAATTGTGGTTGGTGGCCACCAAATTCTTTACACAAAATATTAAAATTTGTAACTTTGCCTTTTAGAATGATGATATATAAGAAATGGACTTATGAAGTTGTTCTTTTACAAAAACATATATATATATATATATATATATATATATATATATAATAGAGCAAATGTTTCTTTAGATTCTGATAAAATATATATATATATATATATATATATATATATATATATATATATTTTTTAATTATTTTACATTGTGTTATTAGACAACATTTTTTTAATAGAATTAATTAAATATATATTATTGATAGATTTTATTCATGAATAAAATATTGTGTATATATATATATATATATATATATATCATAAGAATTAAATCAAACATATTATTAATTTCTAAGATAAAAAAAAATAGATACTACCAAATTATTTTCAATACATATTTATATTGACTTAGTATGCATTATTTTGAGAAGACTAATGGTTGTGATTTTAAAAATATTAAATCAATTAGATGTTGTCATACTTAAACAAATCAAAGATATTGTAGCAAAATAAATTTGTATCTTATACAATTAGTTAGATTTATTTATTATCATACATAATTAATAATTTTTTTGACACCCACATTAATAATTTTATATTATGATTATTTATACTTAAAATGTTTTACACTTTCATTAAAAATAGATAGAATCATCAAAAATTATCAACAAGGCAGAGTCTCACTCAGAAACATCCACAACACAATATTATATACTAATTAATTGGCATTACAATTTCTATACATTTTTTATTTTATTTTTTTTTATTCTTTTTATTTTTAACTTAATGATGATGAAGCTTAAGTATTCAGTTGTGTAAAAATACAAAAGATATTACTTACATGGATTGACATTTACATAACTCAGATTTTCTACTTAAATTTCTAATTCAAGAGGTGCTTCTAGACATCTATTTGGGTTTTGAAAGTCGGTTCTCTTATATCAAACTATCTTTGTCATTGACATCAAGTAGAAAGATGGTGCAAAACAGCATTTATTCACGGTCTTCTAAACAAAATTACAGTCCAGGTAATTCCACATATAACCTTGTCTAACTTCCATAGGTAGTCTACAATATAAGAAACCAATTTTTGTGTTATAATCAAAACCAAACAATTGCACTATTAAAACCATATATGTAAGATTTCGAGATACTTGTTTTTTTAACCATTATACTCAAAACACTATTTAACAACAATACAAATCATGTACCATAATTTGAATAAAAAAATGCATCCCAATATTATTGATGTCAAGGTTGAAAGGGCAGATGATTATGAAAGCACATTTAACACACTCAAAAAACTAATTAATCCGATATTTCATCTCTTTCAAACTTCAAGGAATCTACTTAAGATTTACAACTCCCTATAACCAATCAGAAGGCTATTTTACGCCCTAAGCTCTAGCACCTAAATACAAATTTAGCAGAACAGAATTAAAAGATTTTGAACTTCAGATCCACGACATTAACGCAATATAAAAATCAAAATGTACATATGTTAAAAACAAACCGGCGTAAACTTAAAAGGATATTCCAAATAACCATTCCCTTCCCTCATTATTGACCAATACCATAACTGACTCAAAAACAACCTTATGAAGTACATCCACTGAAATCCATTAAGTCCACCAAAACTTCCAAGATCCGATTACGTGCCGATCCGACCAAAGGACGAACATGACTCATGAAAAGAATGATTTCTTACTAATAAACTATAATACCGACAGGATAAAGATAAGTTTGCCGAAAACATCTATTGGATAGTGCACAAAAAATATGCAACAATGACGAATAGAAAAAACAAAGTTGGACACCATAATTCATCAAACCACAAGACATATATATTACACATTCAAAAATCAACAGTATATGCACATATTAGAATTAACATAAAAAATCCTAAACCTCCAACTCAAGAGTTCTTCCCAACAAAGAGTAATAACGCGATACTCGGTGGAGCTCGGAAGTTCCAGCTTGCGATCCTGTGACCGCTCCCTCCCCTCTTCAGGTTCAACTTCCCAACAACCCCAGCAAAATAGACCTTTCTCTTCGAACGGATGATGGAAAACCAGCGACAGTTCGAACTCCCTTCGTTCACTCTGCTGTCCAGCTTTGCTCCACGATCTCGCGTACCCTCCGGTTGTACTCACGCCGATTCTCGCTGTACATGCGGGCAGCCTCCGAGTTCGCTGGTGAATTCGGGTTTGGGTCGCACAGCAAAGACTGCATCAAAGCCGTGTATTAGATAATCTCGCTCTACGCATCGTTGTCGTCGACGTATTCAGCCGCAAATGCCAAAGAAGACGCCGACCAATCTCAAGCTGACTATGCGACGGCCACATTCAGAAATGTTTCCCCTGCCCAACACCAACTACTCTGCCATGCCTCCTATCAATCTGTTGCAACTCGCACAACACTCGCATCTCACCAACAAACTACCAAACACAACTATCTCTACAATAAGCACATTGAAGCCGGTTCTATTACTCCGATACTTCGAATACCTTCCAACACCCCTCTCACGTTCCTGGTCGCACCACTACGTCTCAACCGAATCAACCGACTTACAATGTCACGGACACCTGCTGGCATCACGATCACTCACCTGAATCGAAGTCAAAATCGCTGCCACGTCGTAGATCGGGCTCCACTGATTTTGCAGGATATCTAAGCAGATGCTACCGTCCGCATATACTGTTTGCCACAAACACCACCGCATAAACACAGAGACGCGCGCTGTGTCCCTCTCGGCTCCACGCCCAGGGACTCCAAACGTCCTCAACACAAGCGCTAGACAACCAACAGAAAAAAGCACTCTCCACAAGTACGAACAATGACTCACACAAACGAAACAACATACCAGAAATATGAAATGGATCCAAACTAAAATGAATAACTCCTTCGTGAATCAACAACAGCTAAAATCCTAATCCACTCTCCACAAGTACACCCTCACACATTCCGTATTCAGGTGGACCAGTCTCAACCACTCTACCTCCACGACCCCTAATATTCACAGGAAATGCTTACTGTTAGGGTGAAACATCTTTGAGACAAAGCGCACTGTGGGAGGCTTATTCGGGTAATCCTCAGTAAATTGCAACGTCAACTTGAACGTTCCTGGGGAGGAACAACCAACAGTAACGCGCGCACATGAGACATAGCACACACCAACCCTCAAATCTCGGTAGCCAGAAACTTTAAAATAACTGTCCACTCCTACACTGCCAACAACTTTCGCTACACCGCAAAATGGCCCAAACCTACAACACAAACAACCAGGCAATCGGCAGCAACACAGTGCGAGAGACGATCCGCCAAAACAGAACGGCGCGCGTAACATCCAACGCTG